ATATTTCAACAACAAAAAAATTTTTTTGAGGCATTATCTTGTAATAGTATTCCAATCATATGACAAAAAAAAGGTAAGGGTAAACATTTCATCTAACAAACGTGTATTGCGCTCTTGCACTTCTTTAATACTTAATATCATAATAAAGCTTAATTACTGTATCAATAAAACAATATCATTAGAGAATATTGTATTGGTAATTGTTGTGAATTAATGGTATTATCATTATTAGAGGATTAGATTATGGTAATAGAGAATGAAATGGAAATGCTGACATTCATAGAAGCACAATTTGGAGTCAAATTGATAATGTCTTTGCCAGATACGTTTTAATAAACATTTGTTGGATTTGAAACATATACGGTATAAGTTTATATGTTCCAATTAAATAAATGTCTAATACATTATTTATTTTGTTATTTGTATAATGTATTCCTTCTCTTTTGCTTTATCAAATTACATATGTAATTTGCTTTTGATCTTTGAAATAAAAATTATAAGAAATTCTATTTATTAAGAAAATAACTTATAAATTCGGATCTTCAAAACCCTAGTTATAATTTAGACATTATGATATTTACTATTGATCTATTATATCTCTATTATTAGAAATAGATTATCTTATAAATAACATAATACTTGTCTATTAAAAATTAGCCTATCAGAATAGTGTGGAAATGAATAATCTTATATACTTATATTGTAAGAATTACTATCAATTATGTAAGTAACTATATATATATATTAATTTTATATTTAACAATATATTTATATTACAGATTTTATTAAATTATGAAATGTAAAAGTATAAAATAATTCACAAAAGTAAAAAATTTAATATTATCTCTTATCCCTTAAATTGTAGCATTTTGCAGGCAAATTTGCTTGCTTATTTACTATAAATTCTCTTTTAATTTACTTTTATAAATAATTAATATTTAAAAAAATTTTTTTTAAATTAATTTTATAAATATATAATAAATTATAGCAAGTTTTATCTTTTAAAAAATTTAAGTTTACTTAGAAGCTAAAATTTGTAATTTTTAAAAAAAAATTATGTTAAAAAATTTCATAATTAATCTATGATAAACTTTTTAGAATTTATTTTTAACTATATTATAGCTGATTTCATAATTTCTGAATCAAAGCCAAAATTTTTCTGTCACAATCAATTACAGCCAATCGCATTCAGTCACAAAATTATATAAATCCTTTCCAAATATGATTCTGTATATTGTAAACAATAAATATATCACTCTCAATTCAATGCTATTAAAACAATAATTGAAAAATAGTTGGCAGGTTTATCAGAACGCCAAATTGCTAATCATCTTAGTATTAGCAAGTCAACTATTAAATGGATCTATAAAAGGTTTTAACAATATGCTATTGTAAAAGACTTACCTTTATTATATGAAAGACCACATATAAACTGATAAAGATTTAAAATATTTTCTTAAAAGAAAGAGTTGATTAGTATGTATAAAAACTTCAAAACTGGAAAAATATATTATCTATTTGACAAGGTTATACTCATAAAAAGGTATGTTATATTAAATTAATAATTTAATTCTGCTATTTATTTATTTAATAAAATTATTATTTATATTTAGTTATCAAAACCTACAAGAGAAAGAAATCAAAATGAATGCGCAAATTTTCTTGCACATATATCTCAATATATTGCTTCTCAACTGGTTTTTTTTGATGAATCTACTTATGATAGATAGATATTATCACAAAAATATGGTTGAAGTGTTTCAGATTATTATGTTCAAAAACTTACATTCTTTATATGAGGCAAAAGATATACAATTAAAGGTGCTTTATATATCAATGGTCTTTTAAGAAGGACTGATGACTTTTCAAGATTATCAATATTTTTTGTTGAAACAATTTTAGTAAGTATAATTTAAAATATTTTATATAAATATTTTTACTGTAAGTTACAGTTTTATATCTAATTTTTATTATATTATGTAGCTTCTAAAAATGCAACCTTTTCCAGAATCATATAATATCTTAATTTTGGATAATGCATCAATTCACAAAAATTTTAATATATGTAACCTTTGTAATAAAAAAGGTATCCAGTTAAAATTTTTACCACCATACTTGTCTGACTATAACTCAATTTAATTTATATAATATAATTATATAATTGATTATTTAATTTATATATTTTTTTTATTTTATAAATAGATTGAACAAATCTTTTCTATATCAAAAATTTTTTATACTAAAATTGGGAATAGGTTAATTTTGTATAAGATCCAATTGAAACATTAGATTTTTATTGTAAATTAATTGATAAAAACTTGATTAAAACATATTTTTAATATGCTAGATATTTATAAATTAATAAATTTATAATATAGATATAGAAATAGAGTATTATTAATAGTAAAATAATAGAAATAAATTAATAAATTGTTATATATTTTCAAAAAAAGTATTTGATTATATTGATTATATTACTGTAAAATAAGGATCACGTTATATTTATTATAAATATCATTCTAATTTAAAAAACTAAATATAATTTTTATAAATCAGTAGATAATAAAACTGATAATTACTATAATAAGCCAGTTTACATTACAGTAAAAAAGTAAAAAAAATGTTTTTATGATAATAAGCGTAATTGATGTACAATCATCTAAATCAAGTTTGAATAAATTTAGCGTAAGAAGCAATTCAAGAAGATCAATTAAAAAGTAAATATAATGTATCTAATTAATGAAAAATAATGAGATTATTCTATATTTGTTTATGATTCTATGAAACGATATACTTTATGATCATTAATTTCCAGCATAAGATTATATGTTATTTAATTTAAATAAGTAAAAAATTTCAAAATAAAAGTTTATATAAATATATTTACTTATTTTAAAATTAATTATTAGAAATAAAACCCTATTTTTATAAAATATTAATATTTTTAATTATAATAAAATAAAGAAAAAAATAATAAAAATAATAATAAAAAAAATAATAAAATAATACAATAATTAATCCTTCCCAAAAAGATTATAATAATCGTAATTAGTATTTTCTAAACTAATCTATATTTCAGCATACTGATTAAAGATGATGTAGCAATTAATTTCAAATTTACAATATGTTGCAATATAAGTTAAAATTAGTTGCAACATATATTGCAATATTATAAATTACAATATACATAGATTAAAACTAATTGCAACAATGTTATAACATTAAAAGTTGCAATATATAATTACAGTTTTCATCTTTAATACTAATCAAAAAAAAAGTTTCTATTACCTGACCTAGTAAAAATTATATTGCATTCAGTTCAAGTGTTGACTTTATAATAAATCGGTTATCTTCTGATTAAAGATGAATACCATAATTAAGAAGTTGCAATTCGGTAAGTTGCAACTTCTTGTAATTTTATTTTAATATAAAAATTCATAAATAATTGCAACTCAAAGTATTGCAACTTAAGTTGCAACTAGTTAAAAATTTTAAAAATAATTATGGAAACCATCTTTACTTCTGGTAGTTCAAATAGAAATGCAAAAGTAATAAGATCTTGAAAAGTCATTTCTTTAATTACTTGTATATTTGTCATAAATGAAGATTTTTTTTTGTATGAATAATTATAGTTTTAAGTTTAGAAGTAATAGCCATTTCAATTGGAATATTAAGGTTATCTTATAAAATAAAATAAAAATATGTTATTTTATAAATTTACAAATAATTTAAATTTTATAAATTTTATATCATTTTCATTTTTCTTTAGTTCATTTGTATGATTGTGTTGTAAAATTTGTTTCGTATTTGGAAATCTATATTTATTTTTATCAAAAGTTGGATTAAAGGTGAAGTATTTTATTTACATTATTTATTTCACTAATTTATAAAAAATATATTTTACATGAATCATTTTATATAATTATAAAATAATATCTGATACTATATAAATATAAAATATCATACTATTGTATGTATCTACATTATAACCATTTTACTTGTTAATTTAATCAGTTTACAAGAGCATGAATTATTATAAAATTGACTATATTGCAAACATATTAAGCATAAAGGACATGTGTTTAAATGATAACTTAATTTTTACTTTGATATTGAAAAAAATAAAAACATAAAATTACATAATACAAAGTATATATAGTTTATTTTACTGTAATACCAGTGTGATTGAATGTGATTGAAAATTTTTGGCTTTGATTCAGGAATTATGAAATCAGCTGTAATTATAATAGAATATTATAAAATTACTTATAAAATAAAACTTTTATTATTATAATTTTATAATTTATTAAGAAATTTTATGACTTTAATTAATGATAAAGTAATTCAATTAGTACGTAAACATATAAATTTTTAAAAAATTTTTAAAAAATTATTATAAAAAATTGTTTGAAACTTAAATTTAAAATTAGATTATTTTAAAAACCTTTTAAAAAACATAAAATCTATATTTAAAATTCTACAACTGATTGCAACCTATATTTTAGTATATATCATAACCTTTATTTTGATATAATTTATTAATAAAAAAATATTTTTATAATGCTAAAATAAAAAAATTTTTGACTTTTTTTAAATATATAGGAGGTTTGCTAGAAAAATAAGACTTTGAGCATTTTTTATTAAAATTTTAATTTTTATTGCATTTAATCTAACATTATCAAAAAATTACAATTTTAATAAAAAATTCTCAGAGGCCCATTTTTCTAGCAAATCTCCCATAGATTTTTTTGATGAGAATTGAAAAAGCATATGATAATCTTTAATACGCAGTATTTACGTATTTAATGTGAAAGTTTTTGATCTATTCATACTGTACAAGTGAAAAAGTGTTGGAAGATTTATCTAATTGAACATATGAACTTATACATGTCCAATTGGACATCGTATATGTCCAAATCCAACACTGATTTTAGATATATCAACAAATGATTTAACATAATAATACATCTTATTTTATTTCAATTAAAAAAAACATCTGATTATACATCAATTATTACTTGAAATACTTCATAATCTTCAATTTCAAAGTAAGGTTTGTCGAGAATTTGTTGAGCATAAGAATATTGTTTACAATAACCAACTAATTTCTCTTTATTATTAATTGATCGATAATAATCCCAATCTTCAATATTGGACCTTGGCTTATTAATTAAATATAAATCATGTCTACCAAATTTTGGACCGTTAACTTGAGAATAGTAGATCGCTTCAGAAACATGATTGTTCTTAACCTTGCTTAATATATTTTTAGTAGAATTATTTTCATGTCGAATGTTATTATTTAAAGAGAAAAGAAAACTTGATGAACAAGGGATATTATAACCTCTATAAGGGTAGGTTTGAAGTCCAAATCTATAAAAGCTCTGCCAAGAATATGGATTGTAACCTCCAATTATTTCCCCTGAATTTTTAACTTTAATTATACTAATAGTATTATCGATGCCATCGCAAATTTTATGAAAAGTACCTACACCAAAACCGTGTTTACTTCCTCTTAATAACAATTTAAATTTAAACGGTTTTTCTTCCTTTAACAATTCTTCTAAAGTGATACAATTATGATCGTTAGAAATCTTACACTCTTTAATCCATTTAGCTAATAAAGCAGTTTGTTCTCCTACGATAATAGTGGAATCGATTTGTTGATAAAGTCTTGCCGATAATATAATATTATTTTTAAAGGGATGTTCTTTCTTCATATGATATTTAAATATTGCTTTATTTAATCCCTTTGGTAAAATATTTTTGAAGGGCTTACCAATCTCAGTAAAATAATCATCTAATCCGATTTGGTGAAATCTAATTAGTGAAATTATATCTTTAATCATTCCTTCAAGTGCCGCGAGTTGTTTATTGGAAAAAACTTTAATCATTTCACTTGGCAAAGTGTGAGAAGCGAATAAAGTATTTTTTGTTGATAAATTACAATTATGGATTCCCCACTTGATCAATTTTGTCCAAATTTCTAATTCATTCATGATTAAAGTGTTCGATGATAATATATCATAAAGAAATCCCTTGTGAAATGATAAATACTCATCTGAACTAAATAGGTTAGAAGTATATTCTAAACATAATTGATCGACTATACATTTTCTTTGATTTAATTCATCATTATTAAGATTAAAAGAGAAGTAAGAAGCGTTTAGCGAGTAAAGAATTCCGGAGAAATGATTTGTGAAGAGATGAGTAATTAAGGGCTTTAGATTTAGAAAAGAACTTGCGAAAAGAATTGAAATCATTTTTTGCTTAGTAAAATCAATTACATCCAAATTTCCCTTATAAATAAACCTATTCGGGACAAAAGAAAAGATAGATATATATATTTATTTATTTTAAGATTATAGAAACTTTAAGGAGAGTACATATAAGATAAAACGTCGATACTCACTCGAGAATCACTTCAAAAATCGATGGTTCAATTTGGGGTAATTCTAAAATAATAACTTTGTTATAATCTTTACGTTTTATCTCAAAACATTCTCCCATTTCTTCATTGCTATGAACGGTAAATATATTTTTTAATGTGTCTTCATGTTTTCTTCCGGTAATAATAGCGTTATAAAAATATTTCGATTTCGTATTCTTTAAAAGTATGAAACTATGAGCATAAAATTCTTTATAATATTGATTAATGTTGCTAAATTTATTTAAGAATTTTACATCCCTAAAAGGGTTGGTATCTGTGCCTGTATTGTCATTCGTGAACAACCGTCGTTTATTACCTACTTTGATTATAACATCAAAGGATGAATCTATTAAATTTATATTATCATTCATGTTTTAATTTATCGTTATATTATTTCATTAAAATTTCAAACAAAAGGGTGAATATAAAATTTAAAGTTCATTGATTTTTTTTAAACATAAAAGAGAAAAAAAGTATAAAAAAAAAAAAAAGTTTCGTAAATGCAAGTTTTATTTATAATCGGAGTTAGAGTTCCGTGTCAACTGATCTATACGCAGTATGTTACACTAATCGCGTTAAAAAAATTTATATATTTTTTATCACGGGGGGTTTTTTTTTTTGTGTTTCCTTCCTTTTCAAAACAAATAATAGATCCAAAGTTTACATCGCTCACTACCTTTATGAGCCAAAATAATAGCAATCAAATAAACCACCATACCACCAACACAAATCCAACCAAAGGTTTCACCAAATATCGAATAAACCGTTTTGATTCTATTCTTTATCATTGTAATAGGGACTTGAAATGTGACCATTGGCGTATTTACAGTTGGTATATAATATAATGGTTGTCCGTATTGATTCCATATTCCTGAAAATCCAAGTGAATTACAACGAAATGTTGTAAACCCGTTTTCTATAGATCGAACTGCGTTCATACGTGCTTGTAACGGACCAACCGGACCTATTCATTAGGTTGACATCATTTAATAATTCAAAATAATAATAATAAACAAGCAATAATGATATTACATCTTACCCTTATAAACAAAATTTTTATATCACGCAGATCATAAAAAAATCGGTAAAAAACATCAATTATAAAAAAAAACAAACAAAACAAAAGGAAACCTCTGTTAATTACTCACCCAAGTATTACTAGAATCCAACATTAAATTAACATTTTTAGAAGAAGCCTGACCGATTAATTTAGGGAAGTCAAAATCAAAACAAATAGCGGCGCCAACAGTTCCCAATTCCTCACTCTGAAACGTTTGTAACTTATCATCACCTTTAGCAAAACCCGACTCTACGAAAGGTACCAGATTACTTTTCTTATAGTCTATAACCACCTCTCCCTTATTGTTAATTACCACTTGTTTATTTAAGAGTGTTTTCGTATCAATACCATCAATATAAGTAAAACCTATGTATGTGTCATATGTCATTGAAATATTTTTGATTGAATCATATAAAGTATTTAACTCTTCTACAGTTGTAATGCTGGGAATTCCTTCCGACCAAAGTATAATTTTGTTCCCCGAACTCGCTAAATCCCGGGTCATATTGATGTAATAATCTAAATTATCATTATTAATCTGTTCCGTAATACAACCGAAACCAATCAATCCTTCTTTAAAGGTATCATCAACACTTTTTTGATAAAAAGGGACAGCATCAGTATTTAATCTAATGCTACCATAACTGATTACCAAAAACAATACGATCAAGTAGATACTCAAAGAATTAATAAATGTCGGTAATGTTAATTTCTTTTTCGGTTGATTTGGTGGGATACGTAAAATTGTATCCGTGCTATTATCTTCATTATAAATGATGATTGATCCGGTACTTGATATTTGCGTCGTGGTAAAATCTTGACACTTTAATAAGTGATATGATATGATATCACTTCCCACTGTACCACTCCACGCTAATAGGAAATTTATTCCCCCTAATCCCGCGAATGACGCAAATTGCATGATCTCCCCAAAGTTTAAGAGAGCAAACCTACGAGGTTGGTGGAAATCAATACAATATAACAATTAACAGATGAGAACAAAGATAAAATCACTTACGCGTAATTCCCCCAATCACCTAATGCCCAAACGTATAATAAAATTGTCCAGATACCTGTCCAGACACACGGAAATACCATAATTCTAGCCCACCCATCACTAGAAAATTTACTTTGAACAATCCTATCAAAAATATTAGGTATGAGCATTATCAAATTTGTAATTAGTCCAATAGCAAATGATATTCCTCGATAATTCCTTACTCCTGAAAAATTAAGTGTGTTCATATATGCTAACGTAAATCCTATACTGTTCATCATGTAAAAGAAAATTATCCACCACCATCTTGTATAAGTTCTTGTGTAATATACGGAGAGGGGAAAGTAGAGAAGGGTAAAAGAAGAAATAGTCTGATAACCTGGTCCGAATGCAGTTAGGACCAAAAATAATGGAAGTAGAGAATGTAGAAACAATGAGGGTGGATTTGGTGGCGGTGGTGGTAACGTTGGTGTTATCACAGCTCTTGATCGGTTCATTTGTAGTTTATATTTAATCGAAAATTTTCTCCTTTTCTAACGATCGGAGATCAGGATGAATAAAGTATAAAGTTCCCTCTTATATATGAATCCTTTTTTTTTCTAACAAATCAAGAAAGGAAATTTGGAGTTTAAAAGGGTATTTTGATAAATATTTATAGTAATTTATATTATAAGAATGTCCTTACTTTATTTGGTGATATTTTATTATTTTGATTGAACAAGTTCGGTTTTAAACCTATCCGAAGATTTACCGGTATGAAATAGGAAAGATGACATGGTTCAAAATCAAAATATTTTCGACTTAATGCATTAGATTAGCATAGATGGCATCTGAATATGGAAATATATGACATTTATTTTGCATATCACTAGTAAATTCTTCTTTCATTATCATAATCAAAAATTTGAAGTTAGGATAATTAAAAATGATAATTAGTTGTTCTGAAAAGAAATGATTTTTATTAAAACAAAATTCCGGTGATGAAATATGTCGTAATGCCGACTTAGTCATAATTCTGGGTGTCGGAGAAATGGTATCACGTGATCATCATTCCGACCGACCCAAAATTTTTCGAGAGGTAAAATTCTATTGGATTAAAGAAAATTATTACCGGTATTTTTATGGATTGTCAAAGTTTAAACTAGAACATTCTGAAATATAAATAATAAATTTAGTAAAAGTTTTGGTCAAAAAAAAAAATAATTCTTAAGTCGGTTGGAGAAGTTCTTTTGAAGTACATCAATCATATATGATGTTATGAGATACATAAATTGTCAGATATCAAGTCCTAGGTTTTGGAAAAAAAAATTATTTCAACTTTTTATTTATAATCATAATGTAAGATAAAATCTCTGATGTTTAATGCATTGACATTTGAATATTAAAAAAATTTTTTTTTGGCGTAATGGATTACACAATATCACAATATGCATCATCATTGTAATTAATCGGTTCCGAATGATATGATTTTCTTTCAAATACATCATGCTCAATCCTAAACGTTTTAGTGAAAATGCCCGGCTAGTTTTTACATTATTAGATGTACATCGAAAACTTTCACTCATAAACAGGTTTAAACGACACCTTTTGGGATCTCTTTTTTTTTTTTTTTTTTTACCTCAATTCGCTTCGAATTATACAGATTTTAAAAATTCATGGAGTATGATCATACATCAGATTTACATCAGGATTTTTTAAATTTACTTGAAAATTCTGAGGATTTTAATGTGAAGTTTGAAATTGGAAAAGAGCCCAACATTAAGGAATTTGAAGCACATTCTCTTATATTATCTACTAGGTCAACTTATTTTCAGAAAATATTTTCAAAATATTGGAATTGGAATGAAGAAAAAGAGGTTCCCGTTTTCAAAAAGCCAAACATTTCCCCTTTGACATTCGAAATCCTTTTAAAGTAAGCTATGATGTTTGTAAAATAATGATAGCTGATAATGATAATGATAATGATAATGATCATAATCATAATCGTAATAATAAAAATAAAAAATCATAAAAATAAATAATTTACTGTTGGCGTGTTTTTATAAAAAAATTTCCCATAATTAGGTATATTTATACAGGAACACTTTCTGTGGATGATGAAGCTAGTTTTGCTGATATTATCGTTGCAGCGGACGAATTTGAATTACAAACCCTTGTTCAACAACTTGAAAAGCATTTAATTCAAAATGAATCAGCATGGCAACTTCCAAAAGATTTTATCAAGATTTGTCAACACAAACAATTTCCTAATTTAGGTAAATATGCATTAGACTTGGCATGTAGAAATCCAAAGCTCATTTTTGAATCAAAAAATTTCTTACAAATGGAGCAAGACATTCTCATTCAACTCTTAAAATGCGATGATCTTGAACTCAAAGAATTTGAAATATGGGAACATTTAATTAGATGGGGAATTGCGAATACCAATTCTACTACTATAGATGATGATTTGACAAAATGGACACCGATGGATTTCAATAATCTAGAAAATATTCTCCATAATTGTATCCCTCACATTCGTTTCTTCCATATGTCCCCAAATGATTACGCAAAAGTCAGAGGTCAATTTAAGAGTATTCTCCCAAGTGGATTGGACGCTGAAGTTATTCAATATTTCCTGAATCTTAACGCTAATCCTTCATTCAATGTTTTGAAACCAAGGGTATCAGATTATCCATTTGATTCCAAGATCGTTAATGCCAAGGACGCGGCTTTAATATCGAGTTGGATCGATGATAGACAAGAGAATCCTTATCTTTTTAATGATTTACCTTACGAGTTTAAGCTTATTTACCGTGCAAGTAGTGAGGGATTTGGCGTTAATAATTTTCATACCAATTGCGATGATAAGGGTCCAACGGTAGTTGTCATTAAAGTTCGTAACTCGGAAGAAATAATCGGTGGATACAATCCATTAGGATGGCGCAGCATTAAAACAGAAAATATGAGAAGCTACTTATTATCTTTTAATAATGAGTTTTATACAAATCATAAATGTGAAACGTCAAGTAGTTTTTTGTTTTCATTGACAAATCGAGCAAAACCTATATTAAGCAAAGCTTCTTCTAAAGATGGAGCTATCATGTGGAGTAAAAGGAAAGGACCGTGCTTTTCAAAAGATTTATGCATTTATGATGGTTCTTCGTCAGAATCTTCATATAACAACCTTTTTGGTACATGTGAACAATGTTCTTATGAAAAGGAAGTTATGAATAGAAAAAATTTTCAATTAGAAGATTATGAAGTCTTTCAAATCATTAATAAGGGATGTAGTGCTAACAACGATGTTGGAAATTTAAATTATAGAAATTTTAGAAATTATATTTCAAAAAGTTTGGATATTTTTTATTGTTTGATTATCTTTCTTCTTTTTATCGTTGCTTTTTTTCTTATTATCGGAATTATTATATTAATCGTTTTTTCTATTTATTGGTTCTTTGCATATGTAAATTTGTCAACTAAGTTGATCGTTCTTTTGTGGTTATGTATACTCGCTTGGTTGCGTTATATGACTGCGGAGTGATTAGAAGTCTTTTTTTTTTTTTTCATTATTAGCATAGCATATGTTTATTTATCTAGCCATTTTTATCTGTAAACTAAATGAATCAATGATATTCGAATAAAAATTCCCATTAAAAATAGAGCGGCGCAGCTTCTGCATGTCTGTCTTTCAATAGGTTTAAAACAAGTTAATTGATATGTATTTTCACGCGCGTTCATTTTCATTCTACTACTACCCCCTTTTCGTTCCCCTTGCAATTCAAAAAATGAAGTATAGAAATTCAACGAAAATTTCTAAAGATTTCTCAGAGTTACTTGATAACCCAAATGATTATGATGTTAAGTTCAAAGTTGGTAAAATGCCAAACGTTAAAGAATTCGAAGCGCATTCTATTATCCTACGTGCTAGATCAAACAATTTTCTTAAGGCATTGTCAAACCATTCTACAAAGCGTAAAGATATTATTATTTTCAGAAAACCTAATATCTCACCTTTGGTATTTGAAATTCTTTTAAGGTAAGCGTTAAGCGTCATTTTCATGATAACTATGCTTTAATGCGTCATTGTACTAAGAGCAGTTCCTTTTATCATGACAAAGGTATATTTACACAGGGGTACTTTCCATAAAGAACGATAGTATTAACCTTGTTGATATTATTATCGCAGCGGAAGACTTGGGATTACTAAGAGTTTGTCAACAACTTGAACCATTTTTACTTTTAAATGAAACGGCTTGGAATTCTCCAAAAGATTTTCTTAAAATCTGCAAACACAATGGATTTCCCGATTTGGTTAAATATTCTTTAGAATCGATATGTAAAGATCCACAAATCATTTTTGAATCAAGAGAATTTTTACGAATGGAAGAGTCCACCCTCATACAGCTTTTAAAATGTGATGACCTTAAATTAGAAGAGGTTGAAATTTGGAAATATTTAGTTAAATGGGGAATTGCGAATATCGATCCGATATTAAATAAAAATTTGAAAGGATGGAGTTCTATGGACTTTATTAACTTGGAAAAAACGTTACGTAATTGTATCCCTCATATCCGTTTCTATCAAATGTTACCTGATGATTACATGAGAATCAAAGCTCAATTTAAAAATATAATTCCTAATAGTCTAGATAATGAGATCATTCAATATTTCTTAAATCCAAACTCCAGTCAATCGTTCAAAGGTTTACCATTAAGAACGTCAAGCTATTCTTTTGATTCCAACATTATTCATACCAAGGATGCAGCCTTGATAGCAAGTTGGGTTGATGGTAAACAAGAGAACCCTTATCGTATTAAGGATTTAAAATATGAGTTTAAGCTTATTTATCGTGCTAGTCGTGAAGGATTTAGCGTTAACGAATTTCATGGCAATTGTGATAACAAGGGTCCAACGGTTATTGTCATTAAAGTTCGGAATTCAGGGGAGATCATCGGCGGATATAATCCATTAGAATGGCGTAGTATGAATACGGATAATGAAAGAAGTCCACTATTGTCTTCGGATTATTCTTTGCACAAAACAACAAATAGTTTTATATTTTCATTGACTAATAGATCGATTCCAATATTAAGCCGAGTTTCTTCAAAACATGAAGCTATCCTTTGCGGTATAAGCAGAGGTCCTTGCTTTGGTTTGAAAGATTTATGCATTAGTAACGTGCCTTCACGGGAAGGAACTTCTCATGGTAGTATTGTTGGTACAAGTAAACTACATTCTTATGAAAAAAAAATTATTAATGACGAAACTTTTGAAATAGAAGAGTATGAAGTATTTCAAATTATTGATACAGTGTCTGAATTAATGTTTACAATGTTTAAATTTCTATTTATATTATCATTATCACTTTTCCTTTGTTTTTCGCTATTTTATTTGAGAGAGAATAAGTTTTTAATATCCGTATGTTACGTTACAGCTTTATATCATCTACTCATTGCGTAGTCAGATTGTGTCACGTATTTTAACTGTACTATTTATTTTAAATAAAACGAAAAATCACGAGATATTCAGTTATGATGGACCCTTTGTTTCTATAAACAGGTTTAAACAAGTTTTTTAAACAATGGAAAAAAAATGCGTCAATTTTCATATTTTTCATTGAACGCACTTTACCATCATCTTTTTCAATTCTCTTTGAAATTCAAAAATTCAAAAATTCAAAAAAAAAAAGGATGAAATATAGCCATTCCTCAGATATTTCCAAAGATTTTTTAGATTTGCTTGAAAATCCAAACGGTTTTAATGTCAAGGTTAAAGTTGGTGATGTACCAAATGTTAAAGAATTCAGAGCACATTCTATCATTTTATGTGCCAGGACAAATAACTTTTATAAAGCATTCTCGGCCCATTCGGCAAGGTATGAGGACGGAGTTATCACTTTCATGAAACCTAGTATTTCACCCTTAGTATTTGAAATTATATTAAAGTAAGCTTTTATTTCGATTTGAAGTTATTTTTTCACCGCGACATCCATTAAGTATTTCCTTCGTTTTTTTTTAAAAAAAAAAAAAATTAGATATATTTATACAGGATTACTCACTGTGGATAACAATACTAGTCTAGTTGATATTATTATCGCGGCAGATGACTTTGGATTGCCAAAACTATTTCAACAACTTGAAACTCATTTACTTCATAGTGCATCAGCTTGGAACTTTCCAAAAGACCTTCTTACAATTCGTCAACACGATCGATTTCCTAATTTAAGTGAATTTGCCCTCAAATCGGTGTGTAAAGATCCAAAACTTATATTCGAATCAGAAGATTTTTTACAATTAGAAGAGGACTTTCTCATTCAACTTTTAAAATGTGATGAGCTTAAATTAGATGAGATTGAAATTCTGGAATATGTAATTAAATGGGGAATTGCGAATACTGTTCCGACACCAAATAAAGATTTGATAGAATGGACTTCAATGGATTTTATAAACTTGGAAAAAACTTTGCATAATTGTATCCCTCATATCCGTTTTTTTCAAATGTTACCGGAAGATTACATAAACGTTAGATCTAAATTTAAAAATTTAATTCCCGATAAATTTGATGATGATATTATCAATTACTTCTTAAATCCAACCCCTAATCATTCATTTGATGCTTTACCGTTAAGAACATCAGCTTATGTTTTTAATTCCAAAATACTTAACCCCAGGGATGCTGTCGTAATAGCAAACTGGATTGATAAAAATCAAGGGAGACCTTTACACATTAAAGATTTAAATTATGAGTTTAAACTTATTTATCGTGCCAGTCGCGAGGGATTCGATGTTAACAATTTCCATATAAATTGTGATAATAAGGGTCCAACGGTTATTGTCATTAAAGTTCGAAACTCAGGAGAGTGTATTGGCGGATATAATCCATTAGAATGGTTTAGCGTTGATACAGATGATGAGAGAAGTCATCTATTATCACCTAGTTTTTCTTTGTATAGTACAACAAATAGTTTTATATTTTCATTAACTAATAGAGCGATTCCTATATTGAGCCGAGTTTCTTCTGAACATGAAGCTATCTTTTGCAGTAATAGTAAAGGACCGTGCTTTGGTTTGAAAGATTTATGTGTTACCCATTCCCATAAGGATATTGTCGGTACGAGTAGGCAATATTCTTATGAAAAGAAAATTATTAATAGCGAAACTTTTGAAATAGAGGAATACGAAGTATTTCAAATTTTTGATAAGAGATCCAATTCATGATAAAAGTTAGATTTTTTTTTCCTTGTATATTATTTGTATAGATATAAATTCCATTTGTATATTTCAAATTTCGTCTGTGTTACTTACTGTTTTAAAAAAATAAATTAGTCTTTTGTTTTTTATTTTAAATAATTAATGTTATTATAAAAATTTAAAAGGCAGCAAATTAGTGTAAAAAAATAGATTTTGTTTACTTTTTCAAATTTTTAAGGTTCATGAATTTTAAATATTTTCTGAAATCTTTAAATCTTCATATTATTGAAATATTTAAGTAAAATTATTAAACCTCTATATATAATTTAATTGTAATCCTTTCATTATGATTTCAAGTTACATATGCAACAATTTGCTTATTATCTAAAATTTCAATTAACCAATTTTTTTAAATTCTTTATATATTATATGATATCTATAAAGTTATAATTATGTATTAACAAATTTAATAATTTAAGTTAATATCTAATTATAATGATTTTTTAATCAGATGATTTTTTTTTTTAAATATTATATGAATATTAAAAAAAATTGTTTTAAATAAATAATTTGAAATGTAATACTAAAATTTTATTTAATATATAAATGTTTCATAATAGATTATAAAAAAAAAAAAAAATTACTTTATGATTTAATATAAGTTAAAAATATAAATATAATAATAATAATTTATTAATAATTTAAAACTATAATTTTTTTTAATTTTATTATTTTCTAATAATAATTTTAAATATAATTCTGTTAACTTTAATTTTAACTCTAAATAAATAAATTTTTATTTTTTAATTTATTTTTAATTAATTATATATAATTTCTACTTGATTTAATTTTAAAATATAAGATATTAAGAAATCTTGCAAATATTATTAATATAATTGAAAATTTTTGAAAATAATTTAAGATAAATTATTATACATGAAGTTGAAATAAAACCCAAAAGTTGAAATGTTTCAACTTTGGAGTTCAAAAATGAAATGAAAATCAAATTAGTCGAAATGATGTTATATCACATGATTTTTTATATATAGAAAAAAAAAGGAACAAAAGATGTATGATCTCAATTAATATCGCTCTGATTCATATGAAAAATTACCAATCGATTTCTTGCAACTAAACGAATCCAATGAGCTAATATTGGATCAGCCAATCTTGAGATATTTGCGATTAAATTTTAAAATCCAGAATCCTTTATTTAAAGTAGAATTTAATGATTTATAATTTCAACTGATAATACAATTGTGATTATCTCAAGATTGGATGATCTAAAAACAATGAACGTTAGCTCATTGGATTTGTCTAGTCACGAGAAATTGAATGCGTTTTTTATTAGATTTTATTCAGAACTTAGAACTAGTATAATTAATACCTTACAATCTGCACATCAGTAATCCAGAAGGAACATCTGGAGACTTTAGAAGTAAACTCTTTAGACTGATATATTTTATAATATAAGTCACAATACCATCACCCATGTATCTTTATTTCAAAGCTGTTTGATATGTTCAGAATCCTACCTAACATAGTCAAACCTATTAGGACTTTTCGCTAGTTTCTCTATAGGCACTAACTTAATAATTGGACATGTTAGATGTTTAGCTGTACTACTGGATAGAAGGATCATTTAATCATAATGTTAGTTCACACTAACTTTACCAAAGAATTAGTTACCAACTATGATTAAGGTCTGTAAAACTATTCGTAATACTTTACATTATACCATTGAGATACAACCCTTTATATCTGATTAAAAAGTTTGGCTTAATATGAAGTAGCATTACATAGTTTATGTTGCAGAAGCTACTATATCTTATAGAAAATACATAACTATGCTAACTTCATATCCATAGCATCAAAATAACTCAGGAACTGAATCTGACCTCTACCCTTAGTATAAAACCTAGACGTCACAGAAAGATAATGTCATATTCCCTTATAGGACTTGAAAGGATTATTCTGAAGATAAGCCTCACTGAAATAAGGAATTAGGATCTTTCTGAAAGCAAACTTTATTATACCAAATAGATATACCTGATTAAAAATAGTACAATATCAGCCACCTGTAATTATTACCATCCACCCTTTTAAGATGATAAATTTCCAACTGAGTAATCATTACACAACATCTACCATTAAATACTACTCTATTAGGCTTTATATTGCAGACTATATGACATTAACTACTACAGATAATGTCTCCCATTGGCTAAGTTTGCCCTATTATAAGTTATCCCTAGCCAAGGTCACCATACTCTATAAATTCAGATCTACTACGTATATAGTTTGCAAGCATCCTATTAAATTTATTCCTAAAATCAAACTGGTAAATCCTGTAAATTATTATTATGATCTATTGTGACTAAGAGCTGAACTAGGATTTATTGTAGTGTAATCTACAATAGGATCTCAGTTGTTACTAACTAAAACACAATTGTTAGATCCTTGAGGAATTAAATAGTAGTTTTTTTCATACAAATTAAAGCGATATTAATCAAGATCATACATCTTTTATTTTTATTTGTTTTTTCTATATATAAAAATCATGTAATATGATATCATTTTGAATAATTTGACTTTTAACCTTCAATAATTAAAATGATTTTAACTATTTTGACCATTTCAGATATCCAAAATGATCAATTTCAACTAGGGTCTGCAATTCGATTTGATATTTGAATATTTAATTTGAAAATCAAATCAAATATAAATTCAAATTAATAATTAATTCAATTCGATCAAATTCAAATTAAAGAAAAAATTATTTGATCAAATACAAATTAATCTTCAAATATTTGTATACTATAAATATTTTAATATAGTTGAAGCTTTTTATAGCAAATTTTAATTTTTAGAGAATACAATTTGTTATAATAAGAAAATTCAGTAAAGTTATACTAAATTATTTGTTATATTTATTATATGATTATTATTATACTTAAAAT